CGGCGAAGGTGTTGCATGTGGGGAAACAGCAGCTACCCAATGCCGACGTCTTCTACGTCTGTGGCATTAATAAGGTCGCCTGACTCTTAACGGTTGGCTGCCACTGTTAACTGTCGCAAGTAAACTTTATTTTATGTATTTTTGGGTTTTTTCGTCTTTGTCAAATTGTTGGCGCGTTTAAATACGCCCACATAATTGAAGACCACCTCGAAATCCATGAAAATAATGATAATGATGATAACGCTGATAATGATGATGACGTAATCGCATTGCAATTTTTTCAAATTGACTCGCACGTCGAATCTATTAGAAAATGTAGTTAATTCATTAGCAAAATGTCATAATCAAATTTCCGGGCAGGGTGCATCCCGTGGAGTGGGTGAGGGGAGGGAGAGGGGGGGGGAGGGCAGACAGGCGGATGCATACATTCATATGTACATAAAGCAAGCAACCACTTGGCAATGATTTCATTGAAATTAATTAACCTCAAATGTTGACCTCCTCGAGAGAAACAGAGGCCAACAAAATGTTAAAAGAGCAAAAGCAACATAAATGCGACAATTGTCGGTAGTTGCATTGTTGTTGCTGTTGTTGTACCCTGTACAATTGGCTCAAAGGGTATGCAGAATGTTGAGCTATTTCCAGGGCCGCAACACAAAAACACAAAATAAAAAGTCGCTGGTTCGATTGGCGTTTCGAACCAATTGTCTGCCTTTAGAAACGGTTAACCCTACTTTACACATCCTTGAACGCAGGTTTTGTCATAAATTTTCTATATTTCAATGAAAGAATTCAACCGATTAGTAGCTTGATTATAGGATATCTACTGGTTGAGTACTCCTCGACTGACTTGTTGCTTTTGCTATTGTCGTTCCCTCTGTAATCGGACAATTGAAAAGGTATATGTATGTATACATTCACCTTTGTGTTTGAGTTGTGGGTCATGCGAAGCATTCAACTAATTGACAATAAACAAACACATACATATATGTGTATTCAGTATATATGTATACACCTGTTAAGAGCATGTTATTCCAACTTATATATGTAAGACTTAAGAGTGTGTGGCATGAGCTGGAGCGGCGGCTTTTGGTGCTTGAGCCTAACAAAAATCAAAGTTCCAATAAATAATCGCTATCAAGCATTATATATTATTGATTAACGCAAAGAATTTCATAAAGTGGCTTTGCAGATAACACCTGAACCCGTTACGAACAATTATCGATCAAATTCCAGGCAAACATACGTAATTTTGTTTCGATATCTGCAAAACCAATTTAAAACAGCTAAAAAATGTTTGAAAATTACCTTTTGGATCCGAAGAGGCTCTGCTTGAGCCTGTCGATCAAAGACAGAGAGAGAGAAACAATTGTTCAGGTTTTCAATTTTACAAAATCACAAGCGCAAAATAAACCTGGCTCACAAATCGAAAATTCCGCTTCGGAATGTAAGCGCCAATAGTAAATTTTTTTTGCAGTAATAATTTTATGTTATTTTTGCATACAAAATCTCTTTTTTTTATTTCCATACACTATACAATAAACTGTACGTGTGCACGTACATATATGCATTAATGTTTGCATGTTGTGTGTAAACATTCACTACTATAACATTCGAGTCTACTGCTTGACAATGGCTGCCCACTATACGTCTACCTTCGGCTAACATTTAGTCTCTATCTCCCTCTCTCTCTCTTTTTTTCTCTCTCTGACAGCCTGCGTATGTGTGGGTGTGTTTGTCTATTTGCCCACAGTTCATTGATGACGCCAGCGTGCTGCTTGCTTGGGCTTCTGTTTGCTCTCGACAAGCACTCAATTACGTGTCGAACGCTTTTGTATCGCCGCTTATGCAGCCCTTGGTATACGAGTCATCTCCATTAGGTGATCGAAATGTGAAAAGCATAAAGTGCAAAAAATGCTCTGGGTGTTGAATTGGCGCACTCATTTTGATCGGCTGGCTATAAAATAATCGAAGATTGAACGAATGAACGGGCACATTTGGTTTTACAGTGTGACTCAAAAAGCGAAAATGATGCCGAAGTGGGCAATATTCACGAAAGCTCCAACCTGCGTGCCTCGAGAAGCGGGCGAATACAAAAAAAAACAAAAAGCGGGGCAACTTAACGGTTTCCCTTGCTGCTCGCTGCTCGCGCTCACAGCTACTTTGTCACTCCGCTCTTTACAATGCTCTCTCTACGCTCCACTCGCTTCGTTTTGTTTTTGTCGTTGTTTGGCATATTTTACCATTTGGCATTTACCATTTACCTTTTGCCATTTCTATTTTGGTGGCAGCCATTTGCATGTCTCCACCTCGTCCCCCACCCCCGGCCGCTAGCCATTGCCGATGATGAAACTAGAGTTGGGCACATATCGTGCTATCGTTGTGACACGACAACAAAACTTACCACAAAAATGTGAGGAGATGAGTATAAAATCAAGTAAGCACGTTGTTGTCGGATATAGTCGACTGCACTCGCTATACTATATTCATAGCTTAAAACAGGCGAAACGGACTTCAAACCAGTTGAAAGAATATCTATACTAATATATTTAAATATGTATGTATACACTGGTCGCTTGAATATAAAAACTCAGCAATTAACATAATCCCGGCATTAGGTTCAGAAATTTGTCTTGCGAGTTCCGACCCCTGCCCATCTCTAGATGAAACGGACGCATGCACGAGATTGCACTGGTATCCCCTCGTAACCGGTTTATTGATAGACATTGGATACATTCTGTCCCACCATCCATTTATCTTTTGCTCTTTACCATGCGCCGTTGCCGGCTGTCTTTAACCTCAATTATGTATAGATTTGAACAAACATCAATACATACATACATACATATGTATATACACACGTATATGTGTATGTATATGCAGACATATGTATCAATAGACTGGCGATGTCGCAAAAACTTCCCAAATTGGCTTAATGTGTCCAAATTAAAGACACGACCACAACAAGTGATGATGAACACGGGTCTGAAACAGAACGGGCAAAACGACGAAAAAAAAAACGGTTAATGTAATAATAATTATTTGGCGTCAAGACGCCCACAGCGGGTAAAAGGCAGCGACTTTGCAGCCGTCATTTCTTTCACTTGTAATGAGCGAAACTGTAAAAAAAAGGCAAACAGATTTGCAACACTGGCTGCAAAACAAAACAACAACAAAAAAAACAAAAATGTTTTCGTTGCTTTTCTATTGAGCGCTTTTTGTTTTACGCTCTGTAATTGTTGTTGTAGTTTTTTTTGTTACGAGTCTGAAATTTGCGCAATTTGCGTTGCGCCAACAATTGTGCATATTTGAATAATTATGTATGTACATACATACATATACATATATGTATGTAATAATCAATAAGCAATTGTCATTGCAAATCGATTAGTTTAAAAAAAAAGCGATTGGAAATTATAAAATACTTTTACCGGGTATTACACGACTCTTTGCCGGTGCCAAATAAAATTCTTTAAACTTTAGGCAAACGTTTCCCTATTTGGGTGTGGATTACCCAAAACAGACAAAGCATGGATTTTCACATAGATCTTTGAAAATATAAGATAAGTAACGTTTCATGAGACAGCTTTCTTCCTCCCATTATAAAATGAAACTAAAAATATGATACGATTAAAATGTTTGCTCTTGTGTTTTGAGTTCTCCTCCAATTCACTCAATTCTCTTAACCCTAATGTATGCCTGGTGAACTCATGGATGTCTGAATATTTATGTATAATTAGAGCCGAGAAATAGAGTCTCTTCAATTGCCTATGCATATATGTAACTGGACTGGAACCGATCCCTCCCTCCCCCCCTCTCGTCGTGACTCTGAAACAATGCTGCGACTTTCTGCGCACCACAAATGCTAAAAGCGAATTTTTCTGCGGTTTCCATATCAGCCGGATGCTCGAGCTATGCCTTTGGCTTTGGTTTAAGTTTTAGCTTTTGGATTCGTCGAGGTCACGAGGCGCTCTCAAGTGAAACTCGGCGCGACTCAAAATTTGCTTTGCTTTTGGGTCGCCATCAAAACAGCGATACGCCCGATTATAAGACGAAAACTGAGTCACAATTCAACCCATGCGAATTTTACCCCGCTTAGATTGGATTTTTTGGCGACGCACTCAAAACATTGTCGTTGTCGTGGTTGTTGTTGACACAGCTGCCGGAAATGAAGACGGGCAAATCAAAATTTCCCCGGGGCCTGGATGCTATTTTTGGCTGCAGCTGAAAGGAATGAACTCGTCAAGTCAATAAATTGTAAAAATATATGTTTTATTATACTTGCTTGTTCCAAAATCCCAACAGCGATGTAATCGTAATGATTTTCCAAACTGAAGGCTCAAGGGGTTTGGCTGCCGTGTTTAAACAGAAAAGTTTTATATAGATTAAAGAAGATCAATGAAGATAATGGGCTATAATGTTTATATTGGTGATGTGTTATTTATATAGTTGTGCTTGCAGTGATAACTTAAAATATCCCCTAAGTTACCTTACATATTGCTATTAATCTTCTTCCTTTCTTGAATATCGCCATTCCATGCGATTTTCTTGGCCTTTGTTACAACTTGCAGATTAAAATGGCGCTTTAGTGATCACATAATATTTTAAAGTTTGCTTCAGTAATACTTGTCATGGCTTGTATTATACTGCGCAATAGACCCATGTACCACTTTGCTGTTTCGAAAAGCTGTTTTTTTAAAAGCTGTTTTTAATAAGATTCAGCTCATAGCTTTTTAAGCGACAGTTAGCAACACTGGCTGCATATTCGAACACTCTCCCTCCCTTTACCTCTTTCACTCTCATTCTGTCCAATTTGGATTGCCTTTCTATGCGAATCTCATAGTTTTTAATTGCTCAAAAAGAGTAAAAAAAACCCGTGATAGGATATATTCTTATTAATTGTAACTCACATAGATCTCATCTGTACTTGGTTCCCTTAGCTTTTCTGGTACTTTTGAACCAGTCTCTAATCTCGAATTCTCCCTCGCTCTCATTTACAGTTCAGCGTGCGCGAGGTCTTCTGACAAAAGGCAAGAATGGCACCAACAACTGCTTCGTCACAATTGCCCTGGGTAAGGAGAAGTACCAGACATCAGTCAAGGACAAGGCCGAGGCAACCGTCAACTGGAATGAGGAGTGCGAACTGTGAGTGCAATCAAATAAATGTCCAAATGTTAATACACGGGTATTAATTGGGTTTCTTTCGCGACTCTAGCAAAATTCCAGATCAGGGCAATCGGGCGGAGCTGACGCTGACCTGCTTGCACCGCAATAATCTGGGCATCGATGAGTTTCTCGGGCAGGCAACGCTGCCACTCAAGGACATGGACGTCTATGACAGGCCGCGTGCCAAGTGGTTAAAGCTTGAGAGCAAGCCGGGCAAGGAGAAGAAGAACAAAGAGCGCGGCGAACTGGAGGTGCGCATCGCGTTTGTTGTCAAATCCGGATCGCTGACAGATCTAAGCAAGAAGGACAAGCATAAGTCTTCCATTGGGCAGCTGGCCAGTTCTGTGGGCGGCAGCCTGCTCTCCATTGGCCAGGGCGAGAAGCGCAAGAGCATCAAGAAGCTGGCTGGCTCGCTCAGCTCCAAGCTGCACATACGCAGCAAAAAGAAGCATGCCGATGGCGATGACAGTGGCTCGTTTAGCGGTTCCTTTGCCAGTATCGGTACACCGAACAGCTCCTCGGGCCTGGGCGGCATTGGCGGCGGCAGCGGACGCAGGCGCGGCCAACGTGCCGGCGAAGCTGATCCCGGTGTAATAAGCGAGGACGAGGACGAGTTTGTGTTCGACAATCTGTCCCACAAGAGCTCTGGCAGCTCGCTGAACATCCAGCGCTCCGGCCTGCAGCCGCCTTCATCTGGTGGTGGCACCAACAATTTCGCTCCTCGCAACCCGTCGCCGCTGCTGAGCAACGGAAACGGTGGTGGCCCGAAGGGAAAACTCAACGGAGGTAAGCCCAAATTGCAAGAGACACTCGGTGAGGATCCAATCGTTGCGGAGATGGAACAGCTTGAGCTCGATTTCAGCGTTCGTGCGCGCACTCTGCCACCTCCCTCAAAACCGCCGCGCACCCCGCAGACACAGCAAGAGCTGGAGTCGGAACGCGAACGGGAACGCGAACGCGCACGGGAACGCGAAGGTGATGGGCAAACACAAGTGGAGGCATCCCCAATCCAGGTGGATGAGTGGGAGTCTAAGTTGTATGGTGGCGGCAAGTATTTAGAGATTGGCAGCAGCGATTCCTTGAAGCGTCGCAGCTGGGAGACGCGCGTACCGCTGCCGGCAACCAGCGAGGAGCCGCCGCCGGTTCCATCGGCAAGCTCTTCCTCTAGTTCCTCAGACACTGAGGAGGAAGAGGTAGAGGAGGAGGAGGAGCAGCAGCCGCAGCCGCCAAAGTCAGCACCGCCGCCGCCATTGCCATTGCCTTCAGATGATAGAAGCAGCAAGAGCGGCAACTCGCTCTTCTCACCAGACGTCGAGCCGCGTAACTTTGATGCACTCAATGCGAGCTTCGCCAAGTTTGAGCAACGCAACAGCACCGCAATCTTTGCAGATGAAAAGCTGGCTTCTGAGCCGGTGACGCCCAGATCGAATCCGATCGCCGAACCGCCACAGCCGTTGCCGAGTGTGAGACCCACTCCACAGCCGCGCGGCACAACAAGTGAGCAACTGAAGGCAGAGACGGCGGCACTGGCTAAGGCCGAGGCAGCTGCCGAAGAGGAGGCTGCACGTCAGCGACGCGCAGAAGATGCGCGCCTGGAGGCCGAGCTGCGTCTGAACGAGCAGCGGCTGCGCGAAGAGGAGGCAGCGCTGCAACAGGAGCTGGAATTACAGCAGGAGGAGCAGCGGCGGCGCGATGCCAAACGTCGCGAGGAGGATCAAAGACTCTTGAGCTTTGCCAAGCGCTCCACCTCCTTGGAGGAGCCGCAATCAAAAACGCAGGCCATTGCCGAGGATCAAACCGTGGCCGTTGCCATGGCCATGGCCGTCGCTGTCGCCGATGTAGATCCAAGCATAGAGCACAACTTGTTAACGCCCGAGCAATCGCCCAAGGAGTTCAGCAGCATTGGTGGCGGCAGTGGCAGCGGCAGCGGTGAGCGCTGGGAGAAGCGACTAGGCAAATTTAAATACGGCAATAAGCGAGGTGAGCTGTTGTACCCAAAAAGACACCACAATTTGAGACAGAACAAAAGAGCGCGTAGGAGCTGAGACAATACAGTTAAAAAAACAAAACAAACAAAATACAGAACAAGATAAAACAGATATAAAGCCCAGCAAAAACCTATCCAGCTACCAAAACTAATCCATCAACTACTCAAACTACCTCAAACTTGTACCTCGATCTTAATCCTGTCCGGCTGGCGGCGCTGGGGAGTGCGGCATGTGTGCGCGCAGTGTTGCATAACGCTGGCGGATTCAACGACCAATCCAACCAACAATCGAACCAAGCTAATCGAAATCAAGCAATTTTCCAAATCAGCTGTCATCTTTGTGTCATCCTATTGAAACTTTAACAAACTTTTTTGCCTACGTATTCGTCATCAAATTTCTCGCACTATCCGCTTTCTGAAGCTCAGTCATTCCTGTCCTGTGCACTTTACCTTCTAAAAACGTTTTTTTTCTTTCATATATTTATTTTGTTTTGTTTTGGTTTTTTGTTGTGTTTCGCATCCGCCAGTGTATTGGTGTCCGTTGACCGTGCCGCGAACTGAATACTGTTCCGATCGAACCGTTTAGGTCAAGTTTACTAATTGTTTCTGATTCTGGTAGCGGAACAACTATTTTGTAGCCAACTAGATCTGTTTCGCATTTGTTTCAAATGATGAACTGGTGCCATACTCTTTTTAAAAGTGACAAAAAACATGTCAGAAAAGGTAACAGAGACTAGTCAAACGAATGACAAGCAGTAAAGATTTAAAAAATGAATTGGTTCCGTGCTCACTAGTATTCACAAGCCATGCGAACTAGTTCCGTCTTCAGAAGAGGCAAGCGTTTGTAAGCTCGGAAGAAGAACTACTAGTTCGTAGCGGCACTCGGTTCGACTTAGCTCACACTCTTATTGTATGCATCTGTTGCACTCGTCTTGTATTAGGCATTATCTCATCGTGTATCTCTTTCTCGCACAGACAAACAAAACGATGCGGATAGTAACTCGCCCAGCCCCAAGTCCACGGAGCGCATTATTATTGGCCACGAGAAGTCTGGTTCGCATGCGGAACGGCGCTCCGAGATCTCTGCACAATTGGCCAAAAAATACGAGGGGAAGTCACGGGAGGTATGCGAGCAAATCCTGTGAATCTCTTTTATTGCGCTTGTTCTTAATAGTGTGTTTGCCTCTCTTTCTATTGCAGGAGCTGATGCTGATCGCCAATGGCATGGAGAATGAGGCATTGCTGCAACGCCAGCGCGTCAAAGAGTTGGAGGACTATCTGGATAATTTGCTGTTGCGCGTAATGGAAACGCATCCTAAAATCTTGCAGAATCCCTATTCACGAACCACATCGGCCAAAAGGTGAACGCCAAAAGACATATGTACACATATGTACATGTATACGTGTGTATGTTTGCCATATGCTTTTCACATGCAACTCGTGCTTCAATCACACACTCCCGTTTGTTTGCTCTCCTCCCTTTCTATGTATGTGTCGATCTCTCCCTCTTTTTTTTTTTTGTCATTGCTTTGCGTTGTTATTCGTAACCCTGCACGGCGCCCACCTCCTCATTCCGCTGCATGTCCACACCACACTTGCATTGTGTTTAACATTACGATTTGTGTTTTTATGTTTTTGTTTCTTACCTTTTTTATATTTATATACATTTATGTATTTCTCTTTATTTAGTTATAAAAATTACATCAATATGAATGACTTTTTAAAGTAAGTGCTGTGAATTTTCGGCATGCAGTTGCACGCACACTTAACAACAAGCAACAACAAAACTCATATGCACTCAAAAAACACAACAGCTAAAACCAAGATCAGCCAACACCCCCTGAGACCCCCGTTCAGCAGCAGCAACAGCAGCAGCAGTAACAGCGGCAGCAGCAACAACTACAACAATAACAACAACAGCTAAAATAACAAACAACAACAACAACAACAGCAACCGAAGCAAAGAGTAAGAAATCTGCTTTTGTCTCTGTCGCTAAATGAGTTCCCATATATGTATGTATGTATGTATGCATGTAGTGCATTTGTATCTGTTTCAACTGGTGCTCTTAAGATTTCCTGTCGATTACAACCAGCCGTCCGTCACTATCTAACGCTGATCAACTGACTATCTTGCGTGCTCTCTCTCTCTCTCTCTCTCACACACACATTTTATGTTCTCTTATTATGCTTAAGTGTTGTTGATAGTTTTCTGCGTGCTCCTTGCAAACACATACACACACTGTACTCTGAAACATTTGATTTGTTGCTTAATTTACATTTACTTAACATAACTGAATCGGTTAAATATTTTTATTAACTTTTGGCCCTTTTCTTGCAGCGGTTAAGTGTGACAGCAGCCAAAAATATGTTCGCAGCAAGCAGCTTATTGTCGGTGAAGCATGGAGGGGAGAAGCTGATCCGCGGCGAACGTTTTAAATGTAACATGTAACATAGAATCAAAAAGAACACCAAGTTGCCTTTGTCATTAGAGAAATTCAAGTGCTTTCTTATTGTATTTTTAGCATTACATTTACACACACTATAACAACTCTTAGATATTAAGCTATTATAAATATATATATATTTTTTTTTTGCTAAACGGATGACTACTAAACAAAAAGGCCCAACAAATTTGTTGTTAACTCTTTCTGTGTGTATTGTTTTACTTGTAACATGATATTCGGTTTTTCATTTGCCCTGTGTTAATATTTGAACGAAACTAAATTAAATTAAATTATTTGTAAAATGTAAATTATTGTAAACAATTTGCTAGACAATTGTAATGTTTTGTTTCGATTCAACTGATTAATTGAAATTATCCAAAAGTATTTTTTATTTGCATTTTAAAATGTGTTTTGTTTTTTATGTGAAGAGTCCTGCAATATCGGCCACGATTGCAACAATTTATAGTTAAGTAAATCTTAAATTATTTATGTATTAGACGTTTAAGTGAAAATTGAGCAATAAGCGAGGAGAGAACTACATACAGTTATACATATGTTGATAAATGATTTTACTTATTAAACAACAAATAAAAAACACTTAACATTGATATTAACATTGTGGGCTAAAAGAAACGTGAAACTTGTCTTTGGCATTAAGGGAATATCTGATTTTAACGGAGTAGGGCTCTCAGATTGATTTGAGCATAGTTAATTACAATATAATATTAACCTTTTGGGTGATTTTACAATGAATGCTATGAAAACTATGCTATCACTATCACTTATATATGCACATTTTTAGGGGTCTTTTATAATAGGAATGTGCATTTCATTTAAGCTTTAGATTTAAAATTAACATCACAGCATCTTTTTCTAACATTGTCTTTGGTACTTTCAATTTGATCATCAATATTAGTTATTGAAGGCTCTTGTGTGCTTTTAACGCTTGTCGTATGCTTTTCATATAATCTCTTTCGGTATATCCGTCAGTTTTCAAGGAATCTGTAAGCATTACATTTTATAAGCACTGTGGTTAATTAAACAATCGAATGCGTACTTACCAAAAACCGCAATATTTCAATAAGGATAATTTTTGAAGCACTTTTTTTCGTTTAAGCCATCGCAGTTAAAAATAATGTCGTTATTTAGAATGGCCTTTATGCTGCTTATCTGTGGATTGCAAGACCAGATATAAATCCAATTTGATTGGGATCATATGTGTGAAACTAAGAAATTTAAAGCATGATAAATTTGTATAAAGTTCACTTACATATTTTGCACCTTCATTTTGAATATCAATTTCCATCTCTTTATTTTCTTTATTCTCCTATTCGTCTCCCTTTATCGTTGTGTGGGAAATAACTAACATTTTGGTCTGATTGCGCAGGTTTAGGTTATTTCTGCCCATCGGCAATTCGCTTTACCGAGTTTTCCACCTCTCTCATTCTACTCTCCGAAAATATGCTACGAACCTCCTCAACCATGAATTCAGATCTCATTTCGGAGTTTTCTAACTGATTTCCTGCGATGGTATCCACAAGAATCCAGCATATCGGCAGCTCTTCTTTTTGCTCTTTCCGCAGCGGTTAGCCAACGTCTGTTGCGAGGACTATAATCTCTTTATTTACCCATTATTTAGGAAACTAAAATCACACAAATAAACAAAAGCCAATCGGGTTAGATACAGTAGACAGATGGCTGATGAAATATTAAAATCGGTTCGTACATGCCTTCAATAACTTAATTCCATTTTCAATTTAGAAATCTGTTCTATGCAAGATCCCAACTTTCAACAGCTTTTTTCTATGTCCGCTTACTGGCACTTAAATAAAGCTGTGATATCTTTGATGGTAATAGACACTGCGGACATTCGTAGTTATGCATACTAAAACATTTAAACTATAATAGATGGTTATAGGTTTCTCAAAATGGACGCTGTATTGCTCACACATAATTCAAATAATTTGTTCGTGATCGTTACAGAACATAAACTGTATTTAACAGCATACTGCTGCATTTTACAGCCAGAATCGATAAATTGCTATAAGAGCTGCAGTCGATTAGAGACATCTACAGTCCTTGAAGCGCACAAAACATAAATAACATTTTAATTATGATTACGTTGTAATCGACTGGAAGATTCTTTAACCAGACGAAAATGTAAATATATATGTTTTTATTAATATTATATATTTATGTCGAACCCATACGTATATATTTTAATAATGAATATCATAATTTCCCCTTAAGCACCTTGCACCTAGCGACAGTAGCGGGTACGCTATAAAGAATGCATCGTTTACGGCGCTCACGTATTAAATCTCTCTGCATGAATTGTACACCGACTTGCGTGTTAAGCTGGTCGTATGTTAGTAGAAATAGGGCAACGTTTGTATTTTTTTTCTTATCCATTCGGTTTAACTCAGTAAAGTTGTGACAATACTGATGAAATTAGGCTTAAGATAATTTGGAACCATATTTCTCCCCAACGGCCGAACGGAGGCTTAACATGAAATATGTTAACTTAGCAGCAGCCGTTATGCAATTTATCGACTTTCGATATGCAATCGAAAATCGACTCGCGATACAAAAGGAAGGCGCACATTTGAACTCCAAGATAAAAACGAATACGTTAAACTTTAGTCTATGTTTATGTTTTAATTGTGTCTGTAATTTCTAATACAAAAAAAAGGAATATATTAACTGAAATGCAGATTAACATAACATGCATAAATCATTGCTCGTTATATACACTTTCAGGTCTAGTGCACCCCATTCGAGGTCTGCTGTGGCTGTATCGCCGCCAAAGCTGCCGCCTGTTGTTGCTGCTGCTGCTGCTGCTGCTGTTGCTGTTGCTGTTGTTGCTGCTGTTGCAATTTGCTGCTCTGTGAGAAATCTATGCAGGCACCCGAGGTCAGATCTATCTCCTCGGAATCGGAGCCGTCAGAGCCCTCATCGGAGGTAGGGGCGAGGGCAGCCATGCCGCCCAGATCCAATTGAGAAACACCGTGCGCAGTCGGCTCCTTGTACAGCTTCAGTTCCGTGTAGGTTTTCGATAGCTTATCGTGCTCGGACTGTGAATGCGCTGGCTGCTGTTGCTGCTGTTGGAAAGCTGGATGCATCATTGTAAAATTGCTGGCGGCTTGTCCACTGGCCAGGGGCACATCGTTGCCGCCCACGTCATTGATCATTGCATCCTTGCTGCCTGGTGTACCGCCCGCAGATAAGTTCTCTGGCATTTGATTGTTACCATTGGCCGCTGTTCCGTTACTCTGCCTATTTGAACCGCCGCCGGCTAGGACTGGCGGCGTGCCCAGACTGAGGCAGCGCATCCGCCAAGCATCTTGCAGCAACTGGAGGCGCGCCTGCTTACGCCACTTGGCGCGACGATTTTGAAACCAAACCTGCAACAAAAAGTATCGAACGTTAACAACTTGGCCCTAAATATATGACAAACAGCTTTCTGTGTGTGAGTCCGGACAGGACATTCCAAAAATAAACGGGTGTATATAAAAAATTTGTATCTGACACCGATCGTGTTTATGCTAAGCTCTTTGTTATTATTACAACTAAGAGAACAGAACAAAAATAATATTTGCTATACGGTTTCACGAATAGTTCAATTTATAGATTAATCCCACCAATAATTAAATGTGTAATGAAATTAATTTAATATTGTCTTTGCACGCGTTTTCAAGGAATTTCATATTCGTAGCATATACAAAAGTAGACGAAAATCGATAGAGACTTGGAAGAGGGGAGTCCTCGGGAGTCCTACTTGCACAGGGTAGTTATCAAAATCATAGCATCAAGAAGCTTTTATTTGTTTTTCATTGCAACTTCTAGCATGTGGAACGAACTGATGCATATAGATGGGCATCCAACGGCACCTGGGCGAACGTGCGATGGTTTTGCCGCAATGATTCACCTGGACGCGCGCCTCGCTGAGGCTGATGCGCAGCGCGACCTCCTCGCGCAGAAAGACATCCGGATAGTGCGTCTTCTGGAAGAGCGCCTCCAGTTCCTGCAGCTGCTGTGGCGTGAACGTGGTGCGATTGCGGCGCTGTCGCCTCCGGCCGAACATGTACTCCGTGAGCAGATCGCCCGGCAGCGGGGATATGAATGGACCAGCCATCAAATGTTATTATTTTTAGCAAATCGCTGCAAATTATTCTATTTTTAGAAATTTGATTTCTTTCACTGTTGCCTTTAAAAAATGTTTAAAAAAAAGTTGTGAACACAGCACACGTAAAATGAATAATTATTTTTTAAAACGCACGTTAGTTGGCGCCAGAGCCATAAAAAAAGTTGACTTGCGAACTGCGCGTTTGGCCAGCGACTGCGGAAGTGCAGGCTGCGTCCTTTGGCTTTTATGCCGTCGCAGCAGCAGCCAAGTCAGCTAATGTATATGCCCATACATATGCAAATATATTTCTGTTTGTGTGTGTGTGTGTGCTTTTCGGTTTGTGAGAGTTTTATTGTGGCTGCGCCTGCGACTCGTTGCGTTTGTGAGAATATGTTCTTAGTTGAGGACACAATATTTACAGCAATGCATTGTAAAATGCAGCTAATTGATTTTCGCACATGCAAACTTGGAATTGGCCATTTCGTTTTTCACGTGACAGCTTTTGAGCCGAAAAAAAGTGCTGCTCGGCTTTGGGCGGTACCTTAAAAATGTTCATTAACATAATTATGTTAGGCGCGCATAACATAATTATCATTAATATTTTGGCATCTGCAGCTGGAACACTCGCTCTCGCGCTTGCTCTGCTTCTGAATTCGCCGCTCGCCGTCTCACTCGCGTTGGCAACCACTTAGAACGACAGGTGGCAAGGAGCGCGCGCAGCCTCCGTTCGCTGCGCTCGCTCATTCGCTCGTTGTAAACATAAACAAATATAACACACAACAATATAATGCACACTCATCCATACACACTAACACACACACACACACACGTGCTGAGTGCTTGGCTTTTATTGAGAACACTCTCTCACTCACCAACACAGTCGCATGCTGATGCCGCCTCTGTTGCTGCTATTGCTGTTGTTGTTGTTGTTGTCGTTGCTGTTGTTTTGCTAGCTGCGTCGGGTTTTATTGTTTTCTCGTTTTGACTTCGTTAAATTACGGCACAAGCACAAAAACCTCATAAGCGCCGTTGCCTTTACGGTTTGCATGCGGAAATGGAGGCGGGCTGTGGCAGCGCAGTTGGGTAGGCTACGAACCGCACCGTGGCACGAAGAATGCTGAAAAGTAGGCAATGGTTTTTAAATGGCAATTTAAATTATATAACAAATTATTGAAGATATAACTGTTTCATCACGAGCTTCTTGCTGTATGGCATAATCATTGCAATAGAAAAGTAACCCACTTGTTTTTGACATGCTCGCAAAGTTCTTAAAAACTAATTAATGAGGTTTATTCAATGTATATTTTAAATATATATGCATATAGTATAACTAAATAAAACATCCACTGATCAAAAGCAGCAGCTAAAGATAAATACAAGATATAAATACAAATACAATACAAATATAAATATAAAAGACTAAATTACATTTGTAACGGTTAAATGTATATACAAATAAGTATTCAGATTTTATTTAAAAATAAAAATTGTTTTTCTAATTTGCTTCTCATTTTCTTTACAATATAAACTCAATCTATTAACCCAACTTCAGGCAACTTACTTAAATGCTTAAATTTTTCATTAATTTTTGTTATGTTTTTAAACAGATTCTCATAATCTCGGCGCATTTATAAAGTCGTTGAAATAAATAATATAATACCTTTCCAAGAGGTAATATTCATCCGATTTATCGAAGCATGAATAGATATACTTTATTATGGATTTGAATTAATTAAGGCTAATTTAGTTAATAAAACCGTGTTTGATGTTTAGTGAGGAATGCTTTAAAAAATATTCATTGTTTTAATCGCACTTGTCCCACTGTAACTGATTGTTGTTACACATGTGTGCACATACATATATAAATCTACATATATGTGTGTATCAGATGCACCTGTGAATAATAAAATTCAAATCACTTAATGCTGCCAGCATTTGCAGAAACGGCACCAACGTCGTCAGCTAAACAATACGGCAACACCCCGTTCACACAGACACACACACAGGATACAGAACGAGTCAGAGAGAGAGAGAGAGAGAGAGAGAGAGAGAGAGAGTGATTGAGCTAGAGCGAGCGAGACAGATAGAATGTGAGGGAGAGCGATAGAGTGAGTTGTTGTTGTTGTTGTTGGTTTTTCATAGCTGTTGGTGCTGCTGCTGCTGCGATTGTGGGTAAGGAAAAGTCAGTAAGGCGCATAAAAATGAGGTTGCCACCACAGCTGATGCCACCTGGCAGTCGCACAGAATAGCGGATACAACAATAACAATATCAACAATGCATACATGCGAGCGCAGCTGTATGTGTGCGTGGGTGCATGGCTGCATGGGTGCCTTGGTGCCTGGGTGTGTGTGCGGCAACAAATGAAGGGATGTAATTTTCTCATTTGCATACATTGTTTTCGTCGCTGTATTGTTGTTGTTTCTGTTGCTGTCGGTTTTGCTTGTGTGTATTTGCCTGCGCTTGCGCTAAAATTATATTTATTTATTAATACTGAGGCATAGGCGTGGCAGCAGCCGCCCTCCCATCCTTTCAGCCTTCCTTGCCCGTATTATGCTCGTGTTGTTGTTTTATTTCATTTGCTTCTTTTGCGCCGAAGCCAATCATAAACGAGCACTGCTCACTCTGGCTGTGTGTGTGCGTCTGTTTGCGTGTGAGGGTTGACCAACGAGATGAACGTCAGCGTTGACAGCGTCTTATTGAAATTATGAAAATGATTTCATGTTTGCCTTTTGTCTTTGGCAGCCTGGCAGCTGCCAGTCTCCACCCAGTTTCACCGCCCACCGCCCACTGCCCGCCATTTTTAATTTTGTAATTTGATGCTGTTGCCTGTTACTGTTACTGTTGCCTGTTACTGTTACTGTTACTGTTGTTGTTGCTACTGAAATTAATTAGGGAGCAGGTTTCACCTGAGCATCGAGCTAAGCTACCATCTTTTTGTTTCGTTTTTATTTCGTTGCTGCTGCTAATCTGTGTTTATGCGTGTGTATGTATGTATGTGTGTCCATTGTTTTGTCGCGCTGATTGGTCTTTCACTGGCTACAAGTGCCTGTGCGAGTGCGCCGCTTTGTTTTGCTATCTCGCTTCCACTTGCTGCTTTGCCTGTTAATTATTTTTTTTTGTAGCGCGCCGCTGTTGTTCTTGTAGCTGCATTTTGATTAAATATGCTTGCAGCACGTGAAATAGATATATGCGCATGCAAGCACACACACATACACACACACGCACGCACACATATGTACATACGTACGTGAAGTAGTTTTGAACAAAATGGCGTCCCGGCTGACTATTATTCATTGCATACTTTCGGAGCGTGTATATTGTTTAATTGATATCGTCTGCCTCTAACAGACTATCTTTCTGTTTATCTGTGTTAATATAATTTGGAGTTTTTTGTTTATTTTTATAACAAATAAGGATTAGCAAAGCAGAGTTTTGATCCCAATTTTAATTTACTTGCGCTTAATGTTTCTCTTAACAGAAGGAAAGCTAATAATGCTCTAAGGATAGGTTTTTGTAGATTCTGTAACAATTGAAATTAAAGAACGAGGATCTGGGCTCAATTCCCAGGCTAGTCCGAAACCGGAGGCCAGTACAAGGGCTTCAAAAGTAATTAGTTTAATTATTCGTGAGCTATATACATAAGTACTTACAACTATAATAATAATAATATTAACAATATTAACAACCCCAATTATAATTATAATTCATCATTATAAATTCATCCCATTCATTGCACTGTCACATGCTGAAGCCACTGTCAATTTAAATTGCCACAACTTCTGTCATTGCCGTCAGCCAGATGCGTCTCGTATGCTGAGATCTTCTTGCCACATCCTTTGCCGCAGCTCATGTCATCTGGCAGCGGCAACGGCAACGGCAACTGGAACAGGAACTGCAACTGCAACGGCATGTGGCAAATTAGCGCTCAATGTTAACATTTGCCCACATTGTTACGTTGTGTTAATGCATTTGAATTTTTCTTACCCGACTGCCACATGAGCCCCGACGCAACAACTGAAACTGGGCGCTACAAATAGTAAGTCCTTTACGACTTTATGCAAGAAGCTGAATAAATTGTGCATTAAATAAAATTCATTGGCATGAGTTTAACAATTTTAAAACTCTTAAAAGGATATTTTTTATAATTATTATTACGCAAAAATGTAATCAAATAAATAATGTATATAATATAAATATCAAATAAAAGCTAGGGTGAAAAATATGTGAACTCAAGTAAATAAATTTAATTGTTTAGAAATATAATAAAATCAAGAAACATTTAAACAGCCTCCTGATTATATTTAATTAGAAAAACAAACAAATTGCTCCAGTAAAACTGATTCTGCATACATAAAAACTGACTTAATTTCAAGAAGAAGGTAATTTATAAGCTTTTGATTTTGAAAACATAAAAACTGACTTAATTTCAAGAAGAAGATCATTTATAAGGTCACATTTGGATTAAGCTAAGTTTTAAGCTCGGTTTAATTTGCTTATCTTTAGAATTGTAGAATTAACAAATATACAAATTATATAAGAAGTTGGTTTTTTGATACTTTTCTTGATTTCATTGAGATGAACCGTTAGTTGGCTTTAAGCTAATTAAGTGCTGTGTATCGCGATGTGCCCATCTCTAGCTGCCGATCAAGCTGGCTGTGATTGTTCCAGTTCTTTAGTTCCAATTCAAATGAACTTGTAGCGTACTCATAATTTCGTGTTTGCTGCAGAATTTGCGGCATTTGTTGTTGTTGCTTCCCTTTTTAATTACTTTTTGTATTTTCTTCTTTTTTTTTCAACTCATTTTCTTTTGTGCCATGCAGTCAACCAGCAGCCTGGCAGGCGAGTCCTTGCTGCCAGGATTTATGCAACGGTTGGCGGCGTCGTCATCATCGCTTTTGTTGTTGTTGTTGTTTCTTTTGCTTGGCTGCATTTAGCATAAATTCAGTTTCATCTCATTTCAACTCATCTCGTTCTCGTTCTCGTTCTCGTTCTCGTCCTGTTCGTCAACGTTCTCCTGACAGACAGCCGCCATGGGCAGGCTCACTCTGCTCCGCTCTCTGCTGCCCGCCGCCCCTCTCCCATCGCCCGCTGCCCGCTTGCTGAAAATGACATTGTAACGATGCAATTAGTATTATGAAAATATTTCTCATGTTGTGTTTTTTCACTTTTCTTTTATTTATTTATTTCTTTTTTT